CTGAAAAAATAAATATTAAAAAAGGGCAACTGTAAACAATTACTGAGCTTGAGTTAATAATGTGCCCAATGATGTGTTTAGAACCGAAGCACACTGTTGTCTTGAGTCATTCTTTTTTTAAAAAAATTATTTATTTATTTTTATGTGGTACTGAGGATCGAACCCAGGGCCTTGCACATGCTAGGTGAGTGCTCTGCCACTGAGCCACAGACACAGCCCTTGAGTTATTCTAATAAGCAGATTGACTACAGAGTCCCTCAATATTGGCACTCTTGACATTTGGGGCCAGAGAATTCTTCATTGTAGAATGCTGTCCCGAATTATAGGACGTCACTGGCATTTTGGATTCTACCAAGCAAATGCCATAACTCTCTCCCATGCACAGATTGTGACCATAGTAAGTGATCCTAGACATTGAATGTCCCCTGGAAGGCAAGTTTATCTCTGGTTCAGAATCATTGAGATAAGAGAGACAGGTGGATATACATGAAATAAAGGAAATGCATCCGGAGACTCACAAGTGGAGAATCTAGCCAGGGCCTACTTGGGTGATCCTCCCACAATTTTTTCCTTCCAATTCTCTACATTTCTATATGCTCCACAGTGAAATGAGATCCAGCAGTACTACTCACAGTTTCCATCCCAGGGGAAGTAACTGGCCCATGTTTGTGAAGAGGCTCCACTTTCTTCTCTATCAGAGCAAAACACTGGGAATGATTTAAACATCCGTCAACCCATCTGTGGGTTGTTTAAAATAAACCACAGAACATCCATGTATGGAATTCTGCGCAGTAGATTTTGTTTTTAATGCCAAAGAAAAGAAGCATGCACCCACAGAGAATCAGAGTGCTTCCTGGAGACCCAGGGAATCCCTGTGCTGGGAGCTGAGTTAGACGCCCTCTTACCACCAACATGCATGTTGGACTCCAGGACCCAGGGCATCTTCTCCACTCAAGGTCTAAAATTTAATTAGTTTTTAAAAGTTTTTAATTTATTCTTTTTAGTTATACATGACTGTAGAGTGATTTTGACATAAATTACATACATGAAGTGGAACTTCCCATTTTTGTGGTTGTTCATGATGTGGAGCTACCCTGGTCGTGTATTCATATATAACATAGGATACATACATAAGTGTTATACATACCTAAAGTTACATTCTATTGTCTTTCCCATTCCCATCCCCCTTCCTTTCCCCCACTCTGCCCTGTCTAATCCAGTGAACCTCCCGCCTCCCCACCTATTCTGAGTCAGTATTTGCATATCAGAGAGAACTGGATACTCAGCCCTTGGGTTTTTTTGGAGTTGGCATATTTTACATAGCATGATAGTATCCAGCTCCATCCATTTACCAGGAAATTCTTCTTTATGGCTGAATAATACTCCATTGTGTATATGTACCACATTTTCTTTATCCATTCGTCTGTTGAAGGGCATCTAGGTGGTTCCATAGCTTAGCTATTGTGAATTGAGCTGCTATCAACACTGGTTCCACTCAGAATCTAGTGTTCAGTGCTGACACAGCATGACCCAGATCCTTAAACATCCACTCTGGTGATCAACACTGTTCGGGCCCCAGGATAACACAGCTACATAGCTTTTGAATTATGTCCTTAAAATAAAGTCTGCACCCAAATGCCAAGACAGTTTTGGGGTGTATTAGTGTCAAGATACTACTTTAGGATGAAAAGAGAATTTTGTACATGGCGGTTCTTAGGTCAGAGGAAACTCAAGGTAACACATTGTCAAGTTCCTTCCCCCAGATAACATGACAGTTTTTATTACACAGCAAAGTATTGTTGACGCCTAGGGATGGACATCTAATTCTTTTGCTCTCCTTGTCCCAACTTGTGGATTCTGGGGGCCGCCCAGAGGTGTGCAGAGCTGCTGAGGAACAGCTTGTGTTCAGCTTGGTACTTCTTTCTTCTCCTGCTCATCCAGTCATTCTCCGTCTGTCATCAGGACGCCCAGACATGCGGTAATAAACTCAGCCACCATTTTTTTTTGAGCATCCAAAAATCTCAGACAGCAAAACCACAGATAAGGGAGACTACTGTAAAGATACACAAAGATTATAAATTTGAACATAAATTAAATCTCGACAAACCTGACTTTAGGAATGTATGCTTGGGAAGGGTCCATAAGCTTTATCTGAGGCCAAGGGACCCACACACATGCACAAGACTGAGAGTGACTGTTGTCCACTGTATCACATCTGCGTCACCTGACACAATGACAATGGAGAAGGGGGTTACATACATACATAGGATACATACATAAATGTTTTACATACCTAAAGTTACATTCTATTGTCTTTCCCATTCCCATCCCCCTTCCTTTCCCCCACTCTGCCCTGTCTAATCCAGTGAACCAGGTGTCTCTCCAGGTCCAGGCTGAGGCTCAGAGCCGGCTGTGGCCTGGGTGTGCTTCCTGGGAGCCTGGAGTGCAGGGGCAGCCCGGGGGAGGAGGCGGGTGGGTTGAAACCGGACGGGACTCGGCAGGCTGGTCTCCCCTGTCAGCAGGCTCTTATCACACACAGCCCGCTATATATTCGTTAATTATACACCTGCCTTATCTGTCCTCCTTGCCCGCATTCCGTTCCGATGGGCAGATGGTTCTGGAGGCCAAGGGACACCAGCCACTATGCCAGGCTCTGAGGAACTCAAGGCCAACCCACCCTGGTCCCGGACCTTGAGGAGTTCCCGGTCCAGCGTGGGAGACCGACAGGTGAGCAGGCAGTGTCCACACCTGGGGGAGATGTAGACAGAGTGGCCACAGGAGCTGGCAGGGCTCCCTGGGGAACAATCAGGAAGCCTCCTGAAGGCTGGGGCTACGGAGCGGGTCGTTCTCAAGGCCCTGAGGCCAATCCCAATAACAATGTTAGTAATGCTGAGGATAACGATAGCCACTGACTTTTACTGAGGGCTCGCAATGTGCCCAAGTCGCTGTGCATAGCGCAGGAGGTGGCTTAGTTAACCCGCTTCCCGACAGTTCTGTGTGGGAGGTGCTTCCCCACCAGCCCATCGGGGAACTGAGTCAGGGGCTGGATTTCCTGCCTTCAGCACCTTCTGCTCTGGCTGGAGACGGTCACCGACAGTCTCCATTTAGTGAGATGGTGGCGTTGCCGTGCAGCGGAAGGCACTGGCAGGATCTGAGAGGAGACAGTGGCTGATTCTGGCTGAGGAAGGTGGAAGACAGGGGCACAGCATGGGGACAGCTCCTGCAAAGAGACGACCCTCTAAGATGGACCCTTTGGCAGCGGGGTGGCGTCTGGTGCCTAGAATTTGTGTCATACGTGCATCTCTTGGCTTGTCATTTGTCTGTGTCCCTCTTTTGCTCTTGTTTATTTTTCTCTTGACTTCTCCATCCTACTTCTTGCCGCTCCCCTGCCCCCAACCCCGTAGACAAACCCCAATACCTGCAGCCGTCATTCAGCTTCACAGACCCCTGCAGCCCGGGAGTGTTGCTGTGGGTAGTTATGTCTTCTAAGTCAACACTAGAAATGATATCGTTTAAGTTGTGCTGTGGACCCTGTTTTGTTTAGGATCCTCTGTGTTACCCTGCGGAACTCTTGATTTATTGCTTCTAGAACATTGGAGGGGAATCAACCTCCTTCTACTTATCCATTCTCCAAGTGACAATACCCAGGGTGTCTCCACATCCCCATTCTGCCCTGGGCATCCTTGGGCATGTCCTTGTGCCCACTGCATGTGCCTCCCTGTGGGTACCCACCAGGGACTGGGATTGCTGGGTCCCAGGATAATTGCACAGTTAAGGCCACAAATCCTGCCCTGTCATTCTCGATGGATTTTGAAACCTTAGAGACATCTCAGCAGGCAGAGAAGGGCGGAGGAAGGAATAGTCAGCACAAAGGGCTGAGAGTCTGCGGTGTATCCTGGGGTCAGGGAAACCTCCCAAGGGGTGGAACCTCTCGCAGAATAGCCATGTAATAAATACCTTGACCGAACTGGTTTCTTTTCCATTAGTTTTTTTCCTAAGAAGGAAAATAGTACTGTTGTGGGCGGCAGCTTGGCAACACCTATTAAAATCTTAACTGCACATACACTTTGACCTGGCATCATCCCCCTGCACGCAGAAGGAAGCAGGAAGAAGGGTGTTCACTGTATTGCCATTAGTGAAGGTGAAAAAACAGAAAGCCACTTACAGCCCCACCAAAGGGAGAGGTGCCAACGGAACTAGAGACCGTGGTCATGGAATACTATACACATGTGGAAAATGATCAAGGTTAATTCAAATGTATGAAATAAAAATTTGCCAAGACATATTGCCAAGTAAGAAGAACAAGTCAGAGTTCCCTATGTCACATATCTTCCTATTTTTCTAAACATGAGAAATCAATAAGGGATATTTCTCAGCTATTTGTCCTTGACTCTGCCCTGGTAGCCTGAAAGTGGCCTTAGACAATAATGAAACCAAAGAGCATGGCTGTGTTCCAATAAAACTTTAATGACGAACACAGGTAGGTGGTGGGGGGACAGATGTGACTTGTGGACTGTCATTTGCTGATCTCTGATGTAAATAAGTAGTGGAAGTTTCTGGAAGAGTTCACACTAAAATATCATCAGGGAAATACATCTGGAAGGGGAAGTAGGGAGGAAGGAGCTGGTCAGGGGAACTGTTACCTTCTTTGAATTTTCTACCTTTTTTTAATTCAAAAAGAAAAGAAGGTTTAAAAAAATATCTTTGATGGCCTTTTCTCTGATCCTGATCTTGGGGTAATGATGGTCACATTAGATAATGCCAATGGCACAGAAAAGTAATGAGGAATTTGAAGCTCCCTCACATTCTACGGGCTAGAGAAAAATTTCTCAAGGGTTAATGTATTTCGTTCATTTGACAGAGAGTTACTTAGCTCACTGTGTGTTCAAGGAACTGTCCCAGGTGCTGGGAAGACAGAACAGTGAATGAAAGAGAGTCCCTGCCCTTTATGGGACTGATGTTCCTTAGTTAAGAGAAGCAATCAATAACAGACACAGTAATATGTCAATCACATAACATATTAGACAGTAACAAAGCTGTGGAAACAGACAGGAGAGATGAAGGGCATTGAAGGCCCTGGGGTGTGGTTGAGGTGTTAAGCAGGGTGGCCAGAGAAAACGTCCTTGTGAGTGAATTGGGGGAAAGCCATGTCGGGAGAATGCATGAAGGAAAAGCTTTTCTGCAGAGGTGTTAGTGCAGAAGGACCAGGCCAGACACAAGCTTTATGGATCAGCTCCGGACAGTCCTTATTCAGGAAGAGAGTTACACTTCTGATGGAAAAAGAGCCATCGGCCCAAGGGAGGTTTTGGGTTATATAGGTCACACTGAGAGGTGACTCAATTAATGAGTGTGTCAATTTGGGCTCTCTTAACTGAGCCAGATGGAGGGTGTGGGGTTAGTGGGTGTGGGGTCAGTGGGCCATGCCTAGGATTTATTTTTACAAATAAAGATAAATATCAGTTGGGGTTGTGGGGTCAGTTTAGGGTGGGATCAATGCTTTGGCCTCTTCCCAGAAACCATCATTTCAGACTTGATGGAAATTTCTTCCCGGGGCTTGTCTTGTCCCTGGGAAAGACAGTGACTTTTTCATTCCTTCGCCCTGGGCCACATTATTTTGGGGTTTGTCCTTTTCCATATCCAACAAGAGGGAAGCTCTGTGCAGAGGCCCTGAGGTGGGAATGTGTCTGTTGTATTTGGAGTGCAGCAAGAGGCCAGGGTGCACATATGGAGTGAGTGAAGGGCAGCTAAAGTCCAAGACAAGACAAAGGGGCCATATCCTGCAGGATCTGGTGGTCCATGGTGAGATCTTTGATCTGGGTGAGCCCGGAGCCAGAGGAGGGCTCAGAGTCAAGGAGGGATGTGAGCTGTCCTGGGTTCTAAGGGGATCTGAGGGCCAGGTGGGGAGTAGCGACGCAGGGCGGGGATGCACCAAAGTCGCGCTGCTGCCAAGTCCGGGCAGGAGACGCGGGTGGTGGGGACCAAGAGCAGCAGTGGGGGCCGCACAGGGGGTCCGATTCTGGCTATCTGCTGAAGGTCAAGCTGATTATATTTGCTGCGGGACTGGATTTAAGAGGTGAGCGAAAAACGGATGCAGGAGGGCACGAGGCGCCACGGTTCTGGTAGGTGAAGCGTCAGATCAGCCCGCGTCGTGGTCCATTTTCTGCGGCTATAGACGAGGACCTCGGCCTGGGTGATTCAGAAAGAAAAGTTTAGTTTTCACAGCTCTGGAAGCTGGAGAGGCCAACATATGGGACCTGTGAAGGCCACTTTTGCCCAGGTGGCTGGAAATGCCACTCGGCATGGCGGAGGCCCAGAGCTCGCTTTTATAGCAAGCCAGATCTCGCGAGGACTAAGCTGTTCCCGCGGTAAGGGCATTCATCCATTCACCAGGGTGACGTCATCACACCTTAAAGGTCCCGTCTCCCCAAATGGTCGAAATGGCAATTAAATTTCATCATAGGGGGCTGGGGCTGGGGCTCCGCAGTGGAGCATTACCCTAGCACATGCGGAGCACTGGGTTCGATCCTCAGCACCGCATATAAATAAATAAATAAATAAAATAAAGGTATTGTGTCCACCTACAATAAAAAAAAATTAAAAAAAAAAATCAATGAGGGTTTTGGAGGGGTCATTAGGATCGTAGCACCGGGGAACTCATGAAAGGCAGACCCCTGGGCCGGGCCAAGATCTGCTCAACTGGCACCACTGGGGGATGGGGCAGGAACCCGCCACCATGGGCTCCTCTGCATCCTCCCCTCTAGAGAGCAGAGCATTAGTGTAGGGGCAAGACTCCCCGGGTTCAAATCCCAGGCCTGCCACTCTGCCTTCTTTTTTTTTTTTAATATTTATTTTTTAGTTATCGGCAGACACAACATCTTTGTTTGTACGTGGTGCTGAGGATCGAACCCGGGCCGCACGCATGCCAGGCGAGCCCGCCACCGCTTGAGCCACATCCCCAGGGTTTTTTTTTTTTTTTAATATTTTATTTTTTAGTTGTAGTTGGACACAACACCTTTATTTCACTTATTTATTTTTATGTGGTGCTGAGGATCGAACCCAGGGTCTCCCACGTGGGAGGCGGGCGCTCTACCGCTGAGCCACAATCCCAGCCCCGCTCTGCCTTCTTGAGCTGGCGGACGCCTTAAATTCTGCCAGCCACGATTGTCTTCATCCTCAGTAGAAACTTTGGATGGTGCCTGCCTCCCAGGGCCGTTGAAAGATCTGAATGAGTTCACGTGTATAAAATATTTAAAACGGTGCCAGCACATACACTCTCCCAGTACAGGGTGACTGTAATTAGCACCTTCTTCCAGAGATGATAAATACTTAATAATAAAGTCCTGGTGCTTGTTTTCCCACCTTGCCTAATTAAAATTGTTTTCATTAAAAAAAATTAATAAAATAGCTGGTCCTCTGCTTCAGGGTCTCCCAAGGCCAAGATCATGTGGGCTAGGGCTGTGGTTCCTCTCAGGGCTCGACTCACTTGGTTCTTGGCAGGATTCAGATTTTCATGGGCTATTGGTCAGTGGTCACCCTCAGTTTCTTGCCACATGGGTCCCTCCAATAGAGCAGTTTGATTTATCAAATTACCAGAAAAAAAGAGTCACCTGATAATAGAGTCACAGTGTTTTCTAACCAATCATGGAAACAACACCCATCGCTTTTGCCTTTTTCTATTCATTAGACTTCTCTCCCATTCATAAAAGAGAAATAATATCTCCCCCAAATCTTGTTGTGAGTGTTATTTGGCCACCAGAAGGAGTCAGAGATGTATTCTTGGAAGAGGTATACAAAAGATGGATTCTTTTGAGTTGGGTTTTTTATTGGGGGGTACTGGGGATTGAACTCAGGGGCACTCCACCACTGAGCCACATCCCTAGCCCTAGTTTGTATTTTATTTAGAGACAGGGTCTCACTGAGTTGCTTAGCACCTCACTTTTGCTGAGGCTGCCTTTGAATTTGTGATCCTCCTGCCTCAGACTCCCAAGCAGCTGGAATTATAGGCATGTGTCACTATGCCCAGCTTGAGTCAGGATTTGAAGTGTGAGTAGGAGCTCACCCAGTGATGAAAGTCCTACTTTCATTTCCTGAGTGACAGCCTCTCCTGAGGCATGCTGTGCTCCAGATCTTGTGCTGGGATCCTGGGCACCTAGTAAGTGTCTGACTCTGGCCTTTTGGGAGTTAACAGATGCAGGGATGGGTCAGACCCAAGCCCTGCCCTCAAGGGCCTCCAAATGGTAGGGGAGGCAAAGAGGGATACAATTCAGGGTGAGCATGGCAGGTGGAGGCAGGAACAGGGAGGGTGAGAGACTCTAGAAGCTCAGCATTGAACTCGGTCTGGCTAGAGATGCAGACCTGCCCTCTCACACACTCTCCACTCAGACACTCACGGAGTCTCAGGTGGGGCAACACATCCAAGCCCCACACTCAGCCCTGCAGAGCCCCACAGACAGCGATGGGGTCAGACTTCTGCCTCGCCAGCCCTGGGAGGGGGGAGACATGCTCCATCCCTTGCTCAGGCACAGCATGGCTCTGAGAGAGCCCTTCTGGTCCTATGCGCCATCCCTGGCTGGGTCAGGCTGTGGACACTGATGTGACTCTGGACTCAGGCCCAGCCCTGGAAGGGCTGCTGGTGTGTGAAGCGCCACAGACATCACTATGATCCATGTGATCAGAGCCTCTGCAGGAGGGAGCAAGCTGGCAGGGCCGCGACGGGAGCCGGCTGAGATCAGGGAGCCCTCTGAGATCAGGGAGCCCTCTGCACACTCTGAGCATGGAGGGGCCCTTGGGAAGCTGACCACAGGTGGTGAGATGGGGAAAGGAAGTGACAGGCCAGAAGGCACAGCACGTGAAAAGGCAGGGGGGCTTGAAAGACCATCCGCCACCCCTGCACCCACCATCCCTGCACCCACCCACCCATCCATCTGTTCATCTGCCTGTCCCTCCATGCGCCTGTCCACCTGTCTGTTCCTCCCTCTGCCTGTCCATCATTCATCCACCCATCCATCCATCTGTTCATCTGTCTGTCTTTCCATCCACCTATTTGTCCCTCCCTCTGCCCATCCCTCATTGTCTGCCCCTCCCTCTGCCCATCCATCTTCTGTCTGTCCCTCCCTCTCCCTGTCCACCTGTCTGTGTGCTCACTGCTCATCGTCTTGCCCTGGTTGATCCTCCACCCACCTGCCCCCTGGCCCTGCCGAGGGCTCTGCTCTCTGACTCGTCCACACAGGACCCTCAGCTCCCTCCTCATCCTCCAGCTCACCAGCACCCATCCGTCCATTCATTTATGTACTCACATATCAACCGTCACGTGCTCCTTCTCCAGTGTCACCTGTCTCATGGATCCACCCCAATGTCACCTCTTCAGAGGGCCTTCCCCGACCCCCTTCTAAAACCATGCCCCGTCACCGTGCTCCTCTCGCCCGCCCATGGCTCTTCTCTCTGCACTTCCCCTGACTTGCCGTTGGGCTCTGTGCCCGTGCATTCTCTTGGTTGGCATCTGTGTCCACCCTGGAATGCCATCATGCCACGGACAAGCGTTTGTCGACTATCAACTCTGTGCCAGGCTCTGTTGTAGGTACTGGGAACACGGCAGGGGACGAGCTGGACAAATCCCCCACCTACACAGTGCTGCCATTCTAGGGGGTGTCGGAGAACAGACAATAAAGGTAGCAAGCAAAGGACTGGCAGGTGGGATGCTCAGGATGCTGAGCGCTGTGGTGAAGTGAAGAGAGCAGGGTGAGGGTGTAGGGGGACCAGGGGAATGAGGCCTCCCTGAATCTGCAAGGAACGGCCGGGAAGAACATTCCAGGTAGAGAGAGTAGCAGGTACAAGGGCCCTGAGGCAGGATGGTGCCTGGTGTATTTGAGGAGCAACAAAGAGGTCAGTGTGGCTGGAGCAGAGTGAGGGAGGGACAGAGCAGGCAAAGGGACCAGATGACACCAATGACTCTGTGGGCCATGGTGGGGACTCTGCTTTCACTCTGAGTGTGACTGGGCAGGATTCTGAGCAGGGGAGGAACAGGGTCTGACTTAGGGGTGAGCTGGTTTCTCCCGCCTGCTGTGCAGGTGGATTAACATCTGTGTTCTGTGAGAGCCGGGGCCAAGTCTTGGGGTCTTCTCTCTTCTCTAAAACAGGGGATGACAACTATAGCCCAAGGGCCAAATTCTTCCTGTTTGTGTGAACAGTTTTGTTCAAACGTGACCCCATTCATCCGTCTACACCTTGTCGCTGGCCGCTCTCGAGCTGCAGGCGTGGCGTGGAGCAGTCACAGCCCAGGCCATCTGGCCCTCAAAGCGAGGGACCTTCACTGTCTGCCCTTTCACAGACGAGGTTTGCTGACGCCTAGTCCAAAGCAATGCATGGCACACAGTAGGCGCTCAATAAATACTTGTTGTTGCAGAACTGAGCCTGTCATTCATCCATGACCCACATGTGGCTGCCAGCTTGCTCTTGTCTCCGAGCCAGTTCCAGCTCTGGGTCACATGCACCAAAACAACAGCCCAGCAACCAAAAATAAAATACTGGAGCCATTCAAGGCTGCCCCGGGGAAGATGCCCAGGCAGAGCTGCCGCGAGGCCCCAGAGCAGACTCACAGCCTCGTTCTCCCGGTCCCCCTCCTCCCACCAGGCAAGGAAGCTGCTCCCCCCAACTTTGTTTTTTGACTCAAAAAAGCCCCTGAACCCTCTTCCACCCCCAAACAGTCCTGTCCCTGGCCCTCCTGTCTTCTCCCCTTCCAGCTCCAGTTTTTATTTGTGTAGGTCCACTTAGCTCTTGAGGGCTTTCCCCCACACCTGTCTGCCCATTACTCAGACTGTGCACACCAAGGTCATGCCTGTGGGTGGCGCCAGCTGGCGGGAATCCATCTGCCCTGGAGATTCAGGATGCTCCACTTCCTCTTCCCCAGCACACACCTGTTCCAGTGTCCCACTCACCCTCATCTCTGAGTCCCCTCTCTCATACTGTACCCTCAGGACCCATGGAGGGATCAGTGCAGTTCCTGAGAGCCAGGCCTCGTGACTTAATAAGGACCGACCCAGCTGGTTGGTGGGGAGGTCTTGAGCCTAAAGGGAATGAGTTTGGGACTTTCTCCTGAGGATGTTTTCTCGCAGGTGTAGACGGGGGACAGAAGAGGGCTCAGAGGTGGTGTAATGCCCGCTTTGGACCTGGTTCTCTGGGCCTTGGTTTCTCTCTGGTGGTTTTGTGTAGTGATCTGGAGACAGATTACATGGGTTCCAACTCAGCCTCTGCCACTTTGGAAATGTGCAAACTTGGGCAACTGTGCCTGGGTATTCTCACCTGTAAAGTGGGCATGCTCTCAGTGCTTACCGCTGAGAATAGTGGGAGGATTATGGGTTTTGCTACTTATGAAGGGCTTAGAAGTATTAAGCACTCAATAAATATTGTCAACTATTTTTCTGAAGCTCTGGGGATTGAACCCAGGAGCGCCCTACCACTGAGCTACTTCCCCAGCCCTTTTCATTTTTTAGTTTGAGACAGGGTCTTGCTCCATTGCCCAGATGTTATCAACAATTAAAATGCTTAGCGCAGGATAGAGAACCCTCACAAAAAGCAGCTCATTATCATCACCCAGTGATGTCATCAGTTTCCCCAGAGCTGAACAGCAATGACTGCCCTCTCCAGTTCCCAGGCAGGTTTCGACTCGTGGTGGGAATGACGACATCACTACACGCCAGGCAGATATCGCACCGAAGGGGACTGATGGCATCTCTGATTTCCAAACAGGTTGTGGTTAGACTAGGGGTGCCAGAGCCCTGTTTCCTGTGTGAAATTCTGTGGCATCCCAGTGCCCATTCTTCCCAGGGTCTCCAGCACAGGACTCTCACACTTCTGAGCCTCAGTTTTCTCCCCACCCAGTGAGGATGATAAATACCAACCTCACGGGGTGTGAGACGCTGCTGTGAGTCCTACATGGAGGCACCACGTCCAGCACCCAGTCAGCACTTCGTAAACCATCTCTGTTACCCTCTCTGCAGGATGAGAGTGCACCAGCCCAGCCAGAGTGACAGGAGCCCTTAGCTCTGTCCTGGTTAAGAGCTCGGATTCAAGGGTCTGACCCACTGGTGTTGGATCCCAGATCTGGAACCAGCAGGAGTCAGGAGACCCTGGGCATTTTGGTGGCTGTAAAGTAGGGTGGTGATGCTGCCAATCTCACGGGGCTGGCATTGGGTGTGTGGAGATAACGACGGCCGGGTTCCCAGCAGCCATTCAGGTCTCCGTCACTGCCGGTCCTCTTGGCAAGGCCCTCTCCTCCCTGGGACTCAGTTTCCCCAGCTGCCTAGAGGTGGGAGGGTCTGGGCAACGGTGAATCCATGGCAGTCCCAACACTTCATGACTCCAAGACAGTTCAGCGACTCACTTTTGTGATTGTGGAGCAAATACACCCAGAGCAGATGCTCAGACTTGCACACGACACACCTCTGGCTTCTCTCCCCTGTCTCTTTGTCTCTCCATTTCTTAATTCCCAACCTCTCCCCTTCCCGTTCTCCAGCGGTCTTTCCCCTGTGGGGACTAAAAGCCCAGTTAGCAGATACATAGTTTTCCTCCTGTGTGCTGTTTGTAGGGCAAAAGATAACAACCATTACAGTAATCATTGTTTATTTAGCCTTTGGCCCAATGTCAGGACTGAACCAAGAGCATATGTACTAATTCATTGACTCTACACCATGCGAGGATTTATTACTATCTATTCAACAAATATTTTTATCTGTTTGTCTGTTTTTGGTACTGGGATTAAACCCAGGGGCACTCTACCACTGAACTACATTCCCAGCACCCCCCCCCTTTTAAATTTCAAGACACAGTCTCACTAAGTTGCTGAGACTGGCCTCAAATTTGCAATCCTGCCTTAGCCTCCTGAGTTGCTGGGATTAGAGGTGTGTACTGCTGCACCTGGCTGACAAATATTTATTGAGCACCTACTGTGTGCCAGGTCCTGGGGATTCAGCATTGAATAAAACAAAGATCCTTGCCCTCCTGGGACTGAAATTCTAGTGCAGAGACATGATAGACAGATAAATAAACAAACACTACCAGTGTCATGAGGAAAAACAAAGCAGGATCTAGTGGGGAGAGAGTGAAGAGGGAAGTGGTTTTTTTAGAGGATAATCATAAAAAGCCTCTTAGAAGAGATGACATTGGAGAAGAACTGAGACCAGAAGAAGGCAGCTATGCAAACTTGGGAGAAGAGCATTCCTGCTGGAAAGACCAGAGAATGCAAAGGCCCTGGGGCAGGACCATGCCTAAGGAGCTCTGAAGGAACTGAAGAACAATCAGGAGCAGAATGAAAGAAGCAGAGGTGGAGGGAGGAGTGAGATCAGAGGGATAGGAGCCTGAGTACGAGGTGCAGGGCCTGTGGGCCATGGAGAGGACTTTGACTTTAAGTGAAATGGTCGCCAGGCAACGTTCTGAACCGAAGAGGGGCCAGGTCTGAATAGAGATCCCAGTGGACACCCTCGGCAGTAGACAGTGGAAGGGGTGGGAGGAAGGGCAGAGGTAGGGACATCATCAGCCCAGTTTTACAGATGTAGAACCCAGCTGCTGAGCTGCACTGAACCACCTGGGAGTTCCGTGGAGCCCTTGCTTTGTGACCTTGGGATGTCTCTGGCCTCTTCTGAGCCTCGATTTTCCTGTCTGTGAATTAGGAATCATTTCCCAACGTTTGTGCAGAGCGTGGGGACTAAAAGCCCAAGCTCTGGAGTCAGACTCAGAGTTCTTTGTCCTGCCATTTGTCAGCTCTGACGTTCCGCAATTAACACTCTTTCTCAGCTTGGGTTTACCTCATCGGGAAGATGAAGCTCTTAATAGCACCAATTTCAAGGAGGTTCGTTGTAAGGATTAAATGAAATCATGCAGGTAACGCGCTTTGCAGAGCTCCTGGCATACATCGGGCGCTCAATAAATGATTATTGTTACTGATGGTATCACCGCCCACACCTCCCCTGTGGGTGAGGGCCCGGGATAGTGCCGGATACGCGGTCGGCGGTCGACAAAAGCGAATTCTTTCTCCCGTCTCTCCTGCCCGCCGGCTCCCTGGGGACCCAGGCATTCCGGCCTCCAGCCGCACCCCCCACGCCGGCCCTCACAAAGGCCCCCATTCAAACCGTGCGCACAAAGCGGCCCATTCACTCGGTCCTCTTGGGCCTCCTGCCCCCGGCCGCCCCCCGCTCCTCTCCATTGGTCACGCCGCTGCCCGTCAGGCCTCGGGTCCCACCCACGACCGCGCTGCCGGCCTCGGCTCTCCGGCCAAGATCTTTTCCCACGGCTGGCACCCTTCGGCAACTTCTGATTGGCCCTAGCCACCAGCCGCTCTTCTTGATTGGCGGTCGCTGGCCCCCCATGGGCGGGGCCGTGGCTTGCCGCAGCAGGCGCGGATTGGTCCCCGCTGTGCTCGTGGGGGCGGGGCTGTCTTGG